ATATGGCTTCTTATTCACAATTCACAATTGCTGAGTTAGCCATCTTAGGGCCAGTGAGAAAATGCAGGCAGCGGGGCTCAGGAATAGTTGTGGACACCAGGCAGGCAGAGGCCAGAATCCAGCATTTCTGTACTTTTCCTGCCCTAGGAGCTGAGCCTCCCTCATTACCCCTCAGGGGATGGGTAGATTTGAGTGAATGACAGTCCCCTATGTGCAAAGCTTACTTCCTTACATCCTTGCCAAAATCCTGTCAACAGATGATAATTGATAACACTTTCCTAGTAGCCTACTCAGTACCAGGCTGGGTACCAAGGTTAGTTTTGAAGTTCTTTCAAAAACCATAGGAGGTGGACATCATCATTTTTCTCATTGTTCAGATGAGAAAACTGCAGCGAGGACAGGTTAAGTAGTGTGTCCCCCAGGGTCACACACTTCAGTAAATGGTGGCCCGGCTTCAAAGCCCCAGCTGACAGACCCTAAATGCACTTTACTGCAACAACCCTGGAGAACTTTGGGATTGGATTTTTTCTTTTTTTCTTTTTTTTTTGAGTTGGAGTCTCGCTCTGTCGCCGAGACTGGAGTGCAGTGGCCGCTCCCGGCCACCACAGTCTCCACCTACTGGGCTCCGGCGATCCTTCCGCCTCAGCCTTCCAAGTAGCTGGAACTACAGATCCGCGCAACCACGCCCTGCTAATTTGTGATTTATTGTAGCGATGAGGTCTCGCCAAGTGGCCCAGGCGGGTCTCGAACCCATGGGCTCAGGCAATCCACTCACCTCAGCCTCCTAAAGCGCGGGATTTCAGGCTGAGCCACCGAGCCTGGCTTGGGATCGAATTTTTTCAGTCACAGTGATCACGCTTTGAATATTAACCTCTTGTAGATTGTACAGTTGCACATACAGAGGGAAAAAAAATCCACTTGGGCTTTGTCTGACTTGACCTGCTTTTTAGTCAAATGCAAAATAAGTTGAGAGCCTAGACTCTCTTTAATCCTCCATCACATTAGCCTGATGACACTGCTACATTAATCTAAGTGGTTAATGGGCAAAGTGGGTCAATCCAGCTTTAGTTTAAGCCAGGGTGTCCAGGACTGCCTATTCAGTCTTTCTTAAGGGAAAAGCAGCTTCTCCTCACTCCCTGTTGGCAGCGTCCTAGCGGAGGGAGTGCCCTCTCTCCAGGGAATTACCCTTTCTGGCTCTGTGTGATAAACAGTTTCTATCATTTCTATAAATATGCTCAACAGAGGAGTTGTGGCCTTAGTAAATTAGGATGGCTTGGAACTTAGAATGTCCTACTGAGAGGTAAATATTGGGTCAAAAATGATGTGGAAATTGTCTTTTTTTTTCCCTGCGCCTAGGTGGAAGACCATCAGAAATCTCTTATCCCATAGTTAATGGGTGATTGTAGATCTGTAATCAAAACTTAGTGTCCAGTTAGCACATCTCCTTCTGATGTATATATACACATATGCTTAATTTTGTTTCCCATCATACGCCATAAATTGTATATTGAGCAACTTAATAATGATAATAACAGTAGTGGTAGCTGATATATGTCAAGTATATGCCATATGTCAGACATGTTCTAAATGTATTATGATTTATTATTTTAATCCTCATTAAACTTCCACGAGGTAAATATTGTTAGCTCCATTTTTGCAGATAAGGAAAAGAAGCCCAGAAAAATTGTTATTCAAGATGACACAGCTTATGCTTGGTTGAGCCAGGATTTGAACCTTGGAAGTCTGACTTCTAAGCCTAAATTCCTTAACTGTTAAGCTAAACTGCTTAAGCTTTACAAACCTCATTTAATATTTTTATTTTTTTTAAATGTTATTTTTAATTGACAAATAATTGCATACGTTTATAGAACACAGTGCGGTGCTTTCATTTATGTATACATTCTAGAAAGAGTCAGTCAAGCTAATTAACACATCCATCATCATACCAACTTTTTTAGTGGTTAGAACATTAAAAATCTTTTCTTAGCCAGGTGTGGTGGCTCATGTCTATAATCCCAGCATTTAGGAGACTGAGGTGAGAGGAGAGGATCACTTGAGCTCAGAAGCTTGAGACCAGCCTGGACAACATAGTGAGACCTCGTCTCTACAAGAAAGAAAATAAATTGCTTGGCATGGTGGCACATGCCTATATTCCTAACTTCTCAAGTGGCTGAGGGAGGGGGATCACTTGAGCTCAGGAGTTTGATGCTGTGGTGAATTATGATCATGCACTGCAGTCCAGTCTGGGTGACAGAGTGAAACCCTGACTCAAAAAAAAAAAATCTATTTTTTTAGCAATTTTGATGTAGACAATACATCATTATTAACTGTGGTCACAATGTAGTGAAATAGATCACGAAAACTTATTTTTTCAGTCTAATTGAAACTATGTACCCTTTGATCAACATCTTCTCTTTTTCTAACCTTCTTCCCTACCCCACTTCATTCACAGATTCTGGTAATCACCTTTCTGCTCTCTGTTTCTATGAGATCAACCTTTTAGTTTCCATATATAAGTGAGATCATACAGTACTCATCTTTTTGTGCCTGACTTATTTCACTTAGCATAATGTACTCCAGTTCTTTTTTTAAGGTTATATAATATTCTATTGTGTATATATGCCTTTTTTTTTTTTTTTCTTTTTTTTTTGAGTTGGAATCTCACTCTGTCACCCAGACTGGAGTGCAGTGGCCGCTCCCGGCTACCGCAGCCTCGACCTGCTGGGCTCCAGTGATCCTTCCGCCTCAGCCTTCCAAGTAGCTGCAACTACAGGAGTGTGCTACCACGCCCGGCTAATTTTTTTTAATTTATTTATTGTAGAGATGAGGTCTTGCCAAGTTGCCCAGGCGGGTCTCGAACCCGCGGGCTCAGGCAATTCACTCACCTCAGCCTCCCAAAGCGTGAGATTACAGGCTGAACCACCGTCACTTTTTTTTTTGAGTTAGAGCCTTACTCTGTCACCCAGGCTGGAGGGCAGTTGCACACTTCTGGCCACCGCAGCTTCAACCTGCTGGGCTCAGGTGATCCTTCTGCCTCAGCCTTCCAAGTAGCTGGAACTACAGGCACATGCCACCATGCCCAGATAATTTTTTTTTTTAATTTACTGTAGAGATGAAGTCTCACCAAGTTGCCTAGGCTGGTCTTGAACCAGCGGGCTTCGGCAGTCCTCTCACCTCAGCCTCCCAAAGTGCTAGGATTATAGATGTGAGCCACTGCGCCCTGCCCTATATGCCACATTAAAACAATCTCTTCATTAACTGGTAGACATTTAAGGTTGCTTCCGTATCTTGTCTGTTATAAATAATGTTGCAATGAACAGGGGGGTACAGATATTTCTTTGACATACTGATTTCAGTTCCTTTGGATGGATACCCAGAAGTGGGATTGCTGGATCTAACCTTATTTAATTTTTAATAACAACTATATGAAGTAGATAGACTTATTCTTACTGCACATATTGGGATACTGAGGCTCAGAAAGGTGAAGTAACTTGCCTCCTGTCACAAAACTAATAAGTAAGTGATAGGTCCATTTACACCATAACCCATAGTTTTAACCCCTAATATTTGTATTCAGAACTGTTGAATCAGCCAGATCGCTTATCCATGTATTCATTCAACATATATTTATTAGACACCTGCTATTGGCCTGAGGACTGTGCTAGGTATTTCACAGAGAGTGGGACCGTTATAGTTCCTGCCTTCAAAGGCTTGCTGAGATCATTTCATGCATCTGAAGATCTCTTGTCCTAGGAGGACATCCCACCCAACACTTTTCTTTCTCTCCATCCTTCCATTTCCCATCTCCTGAGGCATAGCAGGACCTTAAACCCTCAGGCATTTTTTTGTCCTGCTTCTCTCCAGTATGAGCTGTTCTCTCTACCCAAGGGTTTCCTTATTCCTTGTCTCCAGTCCTCCCACCTCACCCTTGCTTGCTTTGGTTGGGGCCATTTTTACTTCCTAGAGCACCTTACGACAGACTCACTTGAAAATGTTCTATGGAGTAGTCCAGCAGCATCAACAGACTCCTAATCTTTAAGTTCAGGACTGTTCGCCAAATATTTTATTGCAACAATTGCATGGTCATATAACAGAATTTATGTAGTAACAAATAAATTGTGTAGCTTGTTTTATAATATCAGCTATATTCATGTTCCTTTTGGCTTCAATTCTTGTAAGCAAGGCCTTAAGTAAGCATCATTGGTTTGTGCCCCCAAAAGTGCTTCTTTGGTCCAAATATCATGTACTGTATCTATTGTAGGTTGTAGCAATATTGTTTACATATTTTTGTTTAAATTAATGCTGTGGCAGATATTTTACAAGTTGTTTTTTTTTCCCCTAATGGAATCTAAAGTATTTCTGAAAGTCCTAGAGTTGTGTCTTTATGTCTCATGGTATGTTTGTATCAGTTTAAACTTACCTGATTTCACCAGAGTTTTTGACTGCTATGTGCTTTGTTGCCTTTGGAGTAAAGGATTTTACCATGTGAAAACTGGAACAACTTGACTAGACCAGGGAAATTTTTTTTCCAGTGCCCACGCACATTTGTTGGGCTTACATATGAAGACAGACCAGTGCCAGGACACGTGGACAGCAAAATCTCCAGGAGCCCCAGGTGCTACTTTTTTAGGAAAGGCATATATGCCAGAGACCAAAGGCTTTGTGTTTTAACATGAGATGTTTGGAGCAATCTGAAAGCCGGATACCCTGAAAAATAAGGGAGAAGTGACACTTGCAAGAGGATCTTAGAGACCCCCTTATCTTGCTCTTTCTGCCTTGCAAGAAAGTGCCTCCAAGTGCCCGGTAGACGGCATCTTCCCTGAAATCTTCAGAGGATGTTAAGCACCACTCAGCTCTAAACTTCCGCTTGCATTTTTCCAGGTTGCTCCAACTGCTCCCAGTAATAAGAGAGAGCAGGGCTGAGAAGTGTTTGACCTTGAGGCATGTGGCCAGAGAGGCATCACCTTCTGACTCCTGTTTGGTATGTTTGATTTTCCCAGGGACCTGATGCCGAGAACCCTGGAAGGGCAGATCACCATGGAGAAGACGCCCAGCTACTTCGTCACGCGGGAGGCGCCCGCGCGCATCTCGGCCATGTCCAAGGACACCAAGCTCATCGTGGTGGTGCGAGACCCCGTGACCAGAGCCATCTCGGACTACACGCAGACGCTGTCCAAGCGGCCCGACATCCCCACCTTCGAGAGCTTGACGTTCAAAAACAGAAGCACGGGCCTCATCGACACGTCGTGGAGCGCCATCCAGATCGGCATCTACGCCAAGCACCTGGAGCACTGGCTGCGCCACTTCCCCATCGGCCAGATGCTCTTCGTGAGCGGCGAGCGGCTCATCAGCGACCCGGCCGGCGAGCTGGGCCGCGTGCAGGACTTCCTGGGCCTCAAGAGGATCATCACGGACAAGCACTTCTACTTCAACAAGACCAAGGGCTTCCCCTGCCTGAAGAAGGCCGAGGGCAGCAGCAAGCCCCACTGCCTGGGCAAGACCAAGGGCAGGCCCCACCCCGAGATCGACCGCGAGGTGGTGCGCCGGCTGCGCGAGTTCTACCGGCCTTTCAACTTGAAGTTCTACCAGATGACCGGGCACGACTTTGGCTGGGATTGAATGGCCCCGGGCTGTGTAACTTACCATGTGGCTTATATATTGAGAGAGATTATATGTATGTAAAATGTACAGAAATCTATTTTATAATAATTTATTTTTAATTCATAAGCAATTAATTCACTAAGCTGCCTAGCCACACTCTTTAGAGAGTTAGCTTCGTAATCTGTTAACATTCCAAAGCGTTTAACTCTAATATCTTGTTCTATTCTTCACAACTGATGGTGCTTCCATTTCTTTTCTCCCCTGCCTATTATATTTAAAAAGAAGAAAAGCACAACGTGAGATTTTTGTTGTTACGGGTATTCAGCCTTCAATCACCGTCTGAGTTCTCCAGTTGCTGCCTCCTTGTTGGGTCTTGGGTCTCCTGTTCCAGCTTCCGTGTCTCTCCCTGCCTGTGTACCTCGTAGGAGCGCTGAGCTGCCTCAACAGTGCTGTCTTCTGAAGGTCAGACCTCATGTGGTAGTTTCCTTGCAGATGTGGCGTCCTTTCCAATTTCCAATTCCAAACCACAGCGCCAGGGTTTTCCCCCACCTCCACTCAGCACATGAGGGAATCCCTCACCTTTACAGGGACATCCATGTCCTTTCGAAGAATGCTAGGGTCCATTTACTTCAGCTTTTGATTTTGAAGGATGACCCTGCATTGTCTTCTGCCTCATTCCCTGGTTCATTAACCAGTTTGAAGTGTATGCAAATCTTAACCCCCTCTTTCCCAGGTCACGTGTGTGAGATGCCTGGATGCTGCTTTAGAAATAAAGATGATCTCCTTTAATTTGCATGAGACCCCACCATGCTCTGTTCTCCAGGCAGACAGTTCTGCTTTGACACACCAAAGAATCCCATAGGCTAGCAGAGCCACCGGCACAAACCACGGATGGCGAGACCCAGAGGGGTCAGATGCGTCCCTCATTGTCAGTGTCTACCAACGTACTGCTGGGTACAGAGTCAGCCAGTGTGGGGCAGTAGGCTCACTGCCTCAGTAGAGACTAAAGACAAAGACCCCAAAATGACAGGCAGCCTGGCAGAGGAAGGGTATCCCTGGCACCTTGGCTTGATGTCTCCTTGGAATTCCTAGCTCATTTCAAAATAACTATCTGAGTGACAACATGGTCTGTAGCCAATGGCTAAACAGCAAGAACTAAGAGTAGTTCTTGTAATGACAGGCTAGGAACACCGGCCCCATGTTGCCTTTGAGCACTTGAGCCTCACACTTGTAGGGCTGTTCCTTGTTTTAGCCAGGTCTTGACACAAGGGTTATCAGCATTGTCACTGCTGTGCAAAATGCTCTGCTCTCCTAATACTTCTCTGTTGAGAGAGCAGTTAGAGATCATTTATGATGACTAGATTATTTAGTAACCCTATAGCAACATAGGAGCAGTTGGTTAAACATAAGCAATATCACATACTGACATATTCAGTTTAGCCTCAGTTTTCTAAACCAGAATGCTTCTACCACAAAAGAATTGTTATTTGAGTTATATTTTCATCAAGGGAAGATAAACATATTGTAAAATGGTTGGCATATGATATTTACATAGAACACATTTGTATGTTATATGGTATAACCTACCTGATAGCTTAAGAAAATTTGTATGGCAAAAGGAAAATATAATTTATCTTTAAAAACTGATCAGAGATGTCACTGGCCTTGAAGTGATGTCTTAATAATCTAGTTTGTATTTGCTTGCAGGTTTTAGCCTAGACTAGCTAGCTTATGCTTAGTAGCAAAGCTATCCGTGTACAGGTTCTGTTTTGGAGGAAGGTCTCAGAGTTCTGTGCACTCCTCAGATGTTATAGCCATGTCATAGCTTTTTTACTGTCTCTGCAAAGCAGTGTAGGACCCGCACTTAGGGGAACACCAGAATCAGTATGGTTCTGCCCTCTTGCTGCTTTGGGTGTGAAAAACACCTCCATAAGGGTGCTAATCAGTCATGCATTTTTCTATTCTAAAGGTCCATTTGCAATCTAACTGAGAACACCTCTTTTCTGTTATAACATTTAAGGCAAAAGACAATTATCCAAGTCTTTCTTCTAGTCTTGCCCTGTCCACTTTCTGGTTGCTCTCGTGGTCTGATGTGGCTCATGATGTGGCAGAAGAATTCAAAGAAGGGTATGCAACAAAGTGATAGAAAAACACACATGAGCTTTTCCTTCCCAATTAGGTCCATGCCATCTTTCAACAATTTTTAATTAAATTGTTTATTCCCCACCTTTAAAACGAAAACTGGAAATTTTCTGATAGAGGGAGGGTCATTTAGTCATGAACACTGAAGTAGGGATCAAAATTCTATTCTGAGTCAAGTCCTTGAATCCAAACAGATGTCCATAATTAGTACTGATGGACTAGAGCAAGTTTTCCTATGTAAAACAAATAAATCAAACGTCACGTGCATGTCTTCACAGGGGTCTGATAGCTTATAGTTCCTGATGTGAATGTAGCATCTGCCCCAAGGTTACACCCCATCATGTGATAATTATTATAGAACCCGCATGTCTTCCTCTTGCAGAAGTTAGGCAACACAGAAAATTAAGCCTTAGCTTTCTTCCTGTTCTGGCAATATGCAAGGCCACCAAGCTTAACTTTTTAGCTGCCAGAAGGCAAACACCATTTTATGTTTGGCAGTTTGCCCTAGCACATGTTTTGTGTTTCTTCCAATTTACAAGAAAAACTCTGGTATTCATCGGAGTACTTTATTTTTCTCAGTTTTGTTTCTTTTCTCATTGAAAAACAAACAAAAAAGGCTAACAAAAAAATGGAAGTTTTTATTATTCCTTTCTATCCCATGTTTTCTTTGCAATGTTGTACAGTAGTCTGTTAACTTAGTAGGTTGTACCTGGAAAGGTATTTTAGGTATAACGATGGAGTAATAAATATTTAATTGGATGATGGAGAAGGAGAAATTGTTTTCTTCCTGGGATTCTCTTTGGGTGTCATTTTGAATGACAAATGCATTTTAGACCTTTGGAGAAACACAATTTCAGATCCTGCCTGGATATTTTTGTAAGAAAGGAAAATGGAAGTTTCCAGTAAGCTAGAAACAGTACGTATCTAAGATGCTGACACAGAAATTAATGTCATTTTTCTTTTCAGCTTATCAAGAGGATGGTCAATAAAACTAAAGGTGTGGTTAGATTTTTTTTTCCCCATTTTTGTAACATTAATTTATGACTGAGTTTCATTCAACCCAGTAATCTGCAATACTGTGCAAATTCTGGCAGTATGTCTTCTATAACCTGGATGTTAGAATAGCCAATATGTACAAAAAATAAATAAATCAAGTATTTTGTCCTATGTATAACACAAATTAATTTTACACAGAGAAAGATGTTTCTAGGAAAATGAAATTCTGGTAATTCATACTTTTTCTTTGTATGAACAAATAAAATATATTTTACCAACTCGTGGGTACCTCTGTATCTTCTTAAGTTTTGTAGATGGGCAAGATAGAAATATTTTCTTCAATAATGACTCCCATGTGCATGCGTGCATGCGTGGACATACACATACATGGTCATTCTGAGGGCAGTTTGATATTTCAGATTTTAAAGGGTCCAGTGTAAAATCCAACTCATTCATAAATATTTGGGGTGAATTAAGACATTTTACAAAAGTAAATGACTCTGAAGGCAAGATTGGTGAGAGGGGCTTCTGTGCCCTGGTGAAGCTCTCCCCCTCCCACCCCAAGCCCCAGGAAATGTTCTCTATTACATGAGATTCCAAGGGAACTACAGCCTTTCGGTGCCACAGGTTTGAGCCAGACTGGGTGCATGTGGACAGCCACCTGTCACAGGACAGGTGCGATGTGAGCAGAGCATCTATGGCTAGGTGGATTTTGATAACAGTCGCCTTTCCGTCTCATGTTTGCAGAGTGTTCTCCTGTTCTTTGGAGATCCTTATCCACGCGACAGGCAGAAAGGGCTCAAACAAGACAGCACTTCTGTGTCTTTAATCCGTCTCAAACTACCTTCTGTTTTCTTTTGACCTAGCATACCATCTGTACCATTAGTGTTTTGAAACATCTGATTCACGCTGTTGAACCAGGTTCACTGTGAGGGAGAGGGGGTCAGCTACAAGCAGAAACTTTTCACCTGCATTCAACTTGCTTATGTAGTAATTCTTCAATTGTACCCCACAACTCTGAAATTCAATAAAATAAAAAATAATAAAAAGAATTAAGTGTAAAGCCATGATCTCTTTGCTATAAAAAGGTGATCGTTCTTTAAAAAGATCAGCAAAAACAAAGCAATGCTAGCCATTTCTAGCTGGATAGTACAACTGAAGGCAAATTAACCTTAACCTAAGGCTCGCTTGCTGCTCCTGGTAAATGTTTTGTTGTCCAAGACTGACACTTAAATGAGATTTGCATCTTGCCATGAAGCGTGAATGAGACTTGAAGAGGGAATGACCTACTCAATGTTACTTAGTGTTGAGCTTACATCCGCCTAAAACAAGAATGCTAACCCCCCTAAATCATCTCTAGTAGCTCTCTTAGTTTTCTCACACTTTGGGAAACACTATTTTCACATGAAGAAAATGCCTTGGGTAGAGGCATGAGTTGAAAATTAGCCTAGCATTTTGGGAAGGCAGTGGAGAGAAAACCCTGACCTAAATAGAGGAGGATGCAAGTTGGGCAATTGGAAAACAAGTCTTCGGTAAGATTTGGTTTTTAAAAGGCAGCATTCTATGGACGCTGATTGCGTCAAACCTAAAAATGAGCTACTCGGCTGAATAGGTGTGTGAAAAAGGAATGTTGACCTGGCTCTGCACTCCATCTCATCAACTTTATGCTTTTTCTACAGAAGGCAATAAAATGGACCTAAAATTGACTTATTAACCTGATGGTACAGTTTAGAGCAGCGGTTGTCAAACTTGGGCAAATATTCAAATGATCTGGAGAAGTTTTAAAAATTCTAAAGCCCACTGATCATGGTGGCTCACATCTATAATTCCAGCACTTTGAGAGGCTTTGGCAGGAGTTCAAGACCAGCCTGGGCAATGTAGTGAGCCCTCATCTCTACAAAAAATAAAAAATTAGCTAGGCTTGCTGGTATACATCTGTGGTTCCAGCTACTTGAGAGACTGATGTGGAACGATCATTTGAGCTCAGGAGTTCAAGGCTGTGGTGAGCTGTGATCATGCCACTGTATTTCAGCCTGGGCAACAGAGTGAGACCCAGACTCAAATAAATAAATATTAAAAAATTAAAAAATGTTTTGTAATAGCAAGAAAGACAAAAAGTACATTCAAAAAACTTCTAAGGCCTGAACATACCTTGGACCAGTTACATTTAAAGTCACCAGCCAAGTACAATGGCTCAAGCCTGTAATCCCAGCACTTTGGGAGGCTGAGGTGAAAGGCTTGCCTGCGCCCCGGGATTTGAGGCCAGCCTGCGCAATGTGACGAGATCTCATCTCTATAATAAATAAAAAAATTAGCTGAGTGCAGTAGTGTCTGCCTGTAGTTCCAGCTACTTGGAAAGCTAACGCAGAAGGATCGCCTGAGTCCAGCAAGTTGAGGCTGCAGTGGCAGTGAGTGTGCCCCTGAACTCCAACCTGGGCAACAGAGTGAGA